TGCACCAGTGCCTGCTGCCTATGGCCTGCAGCCTAGGCCTCTCAGCATCTTGCGGTTGCCATGTCCGGCGATTCAAGGGTTCAACTTTGAGACGCTAGCAAAGCTGATGGCAATGCTTGTCGATGACAACAAGGGAGTGTTGAGTGCCGACAACCTCTACTGGTTGCAGTCCGGTGCAGCGACTGCAACTGATGCGTGGCAGTGGGTCCTGTCCGACCATCGTCGACGTTGTACAGCCAAACCCCAAACAGCTGATTGCTCTCATTCACAAACAGTGGTCCACAGGGTGTCCAGTGGTTAGGGTAGTAACAGTTTGAGATACTGACGGGGCGGCGCTTGCGAGAAAGGGTGGAATTGCGTTCATTAACCCTTTTTAGGATTTTTAGGGCAGCGTCCAGAGTGCCTGAGAGTTGTCGCCTTTAATTTATTTTTCCGCTTTGAGATGTTTTGAGCTATTCCCTGCAACCAAGTCAATTGAATCATAATATATATATATATATACACCCACCAAAGGCGAACTACATGAGTGTGTTGCACGAAGGTAAATAATCCTCCTCCAATGATATCAGAATGCAATCTGGCTGCGCCATGCCTAAGGTCGTCATCTTCTGCTGAGAGATGTGATGTGACGTTGCGGAGAGCCTGGGAGCCTGGAAGGTGAGAGTCAGTGGCTGTTTGGGAGACTGTTGAATGCGGTTTTCCCTGTTTTGGCGAGTGTGCTCGGTATTGGTATATTTTGGAATATTGGCTTTGATATCATCAGAACAGTGCGGCAGTAACTAATGAATAGTACAAGCGCCGATAAAAGTAAGAGCTGGTTGCTAAAGCTGGCATCTATGCATTGTCAAATATACAAGTTTGATGTACTGAGACCTCATGCAAGTCAGTCTATAAATTGCTTGTGCAAAACATTATCATTTCTGAGGTCAGCCATCTTCGCTTGGTTTGTGCGTGGCCTGAGTAGGCAAGAGGTGCCCTTTTTTGTTGCCAACAACCTGGTGGGCGGAAGGTGTTTGATCAGTCGATGGCTAGAAACTACCCAGATCAGGTCAATAGAAGCTTTCCATATTTCAGACATGCCTTTCTTTTCCCCACCGAGCTTGTTTGGAGTCATGTATTTGCAATTGGAAATTCACAATTCATGGCCTATGAGCGAAGGTCATGGGTAAAATACAGTGTCGCATGCGCTGCAGCGGTAGTCTGCTGGTTGTCTTACGTTAGATCCTGATGTGACTCTTTGTGAAGCAAAAACAAAGAGCGCTTGTGCCTGTTCAGGTCATCTCATCTCAGGTCTTGCATTGCCTGAGCTTTTAACACTTTCAGCCAGCTGAGCTTATCATTTTGCAGGTCATCGTAGGTCTCAAGTGGCTAGGGGGGCAACTTGAATCTTTCTGTGCTATATAGCAATGGGGCGTGACCGTGACAAGAAAGAGAAAGAGAGTAGGGGTAGTAAGGACAAGAAGGGTGAAGACAAAAAGAGCAAGAAAAAGGACAAAAAAGAAACGACGAAGTCGCTCAAGCTCATCATCCTCCAGTTCAGACGAAGCAGAGACTATCCTTGCGAATGCAGTGGCTTCAGCTTTTGGGTTGACTCTAAACGTGTATTAGTTATGGCCAAGGGTCGAGTCAAGGGTCGTTTGGTTTTGGTAGGCAAGTGCCTGTCAAGTCAGGTGTTGAGGTCCCCCCTTTCTTTCAACCGAACAAGTGGTGAGTCTGATGTGTTAGTGTGGACTCCTTGGTTTTGCAATCTGTCTGGGGCAATCGTCGTCGCCAAAGCTTAGGAAGCCAAAGGCGCTCATCCTGGGGTCGAAGGTGCAGAAAGTTGCGGATCTGAAGGTGTACCATGTGGCATCAGTTTTGGGTCGACAACACGCATCGCTGACTGAACAGTCATTGATGCTGCTGGGCGGTGAGTGGTTTCATATGAAGAAGCATGCCCTAAGCTCCCTGAAGCTTTCGGAGCAAGATCCCGAAACACTCAAGGTTCGTGTTACGCTAGCCTCAGATTTGGCCATTGCAGAGAAGAGATGGAGGGATCGACTTCTTGCCATCCTAGAGAAAGGCAAGGTTCCCAAATTGGGTTTGAACGATGGTAAAATGCTTCTGCTTTCATTTCATAGAATTTCCATGAATTTCCTTCAAAATGTGTTGCGCACTGCATGGCAACTGTTCCAACCTGCAGTGGCCGGGATGAATGACATGAGCGTCATCGGGCAGCACAATTCCATCACCTCGATTCGAAGGCTTGGCAAATGGTGGATGTACAGCAGTCAAACACATCTTTACACTTCCTCATTTCCTCATTTGCATGTGCTCTTGTTTGCTGATGCTATATAAAAGCTTAGCTGTGCCAGTCTTTGTGGTTGTTGCTAGACAATGCACCCCTGTATATACTATATACATATATTTTTATACAGTATAAATATATGGATACCACTATCTCATCTAACGAGAGTCTGAGTAGGCCTTGGCCTACTGATGCTAATAACTATATAACCACTACGACGACTACTTCTACTACAGGAAGTCTGTTGTGTGCTCTTGAGGGCTGTGGCAAGCGAGATTGAGCAGCGCATGAACGACCCTGAGACCAAGCTCCAGTGGACAGTGGAGCTGAAGCAAATGGTTACGGACTTCAAGAAGGAAGCCAAGAAGGACTTGGACAAGGAACCCTCCGGTCGCAGTCGCTCGTCTACTCGGGCACCTTCTTCGAGTGGAAAGCAGAAGAAGTCTTCTGGTGATGAGTCAGACGGCAGCAAGACGTCCAAGGCAAGAGATTCAGGACGCATGAAAGTCTTCAAGCCCAGCAAGCACGACAAGGTGAGGGGTTGCAAGGCGAATAGAATTGCAAGGTGAATTCTTGTTCAAACGTAGGCTAGGGCTCTATGCTCATGACCTGGCATGACCAGCGTCCCTGATAGGAGAAGGATGACAAGGACTGTGAGTCTGACAGGTTTGCAAAACGGCCCCGTCATTTGGACCATTTTGAGCCAGCCCCGTCTGTGGCCAACAGCATGAGTGCGGAGTCTGTGGCTGCTGCTAGCGAGGAGGAGATCTTCAAGTTTTTTCCGGCCAGACATTATGAGACTCATTCCACGTCTCAATGACATGTCGTTGTTCATCAAGGTCCTGGTTGCAGATGGCATTGAACCTGGTTGTTTGGTTTAGTAAAGCTTGTTGGTGTGCTGTGTTCGTTGAAGCGGTTTCGGATGCGTTTGGCCTGGGGCATGTAGCCCTGCCAGCTTAATTCACCCAGGACAACGTCAAATGCTTTTTGGAGGCCATTGAATCTGGGTGGACGCCTGTCCAGGAAAGCTGCGGGGCACCTGCTCGTGAAGTCTTGGGATGCATCTCATGGAGGGGCCGTCGTGACGCTCAAGAGTTTGTCAAGTATGTGCGCCAGAACATTGCCACATGGTCAATTAGTATTGAACATGTTTTCTTTGGAGTGATGATGTTTGATCTCAATCAGAGCCTTAAAACCTGGGTGTTCTTTTTAATGTGTATGGTCTAGTTCCTGCCTTTCCTCTTCTTTCTCTGTTCCTGCATTCATCCAGGCTGACTTCAAGTCCAAAATGGAGACAGGTCACAGGAGTTCTTCTCCAACTGACCTGTCGCGCAGCTTCGACAGTGAGGCGACAGTGAAGCTGGGTGAGCAGGAGGCATATCTCCGCCGCGTGGCAGAACGGCGAGAGCGGCGCAATGCAAGTCCAGCTGATAATGATGCTCCAGGGGAGTCTGAGGTTGTAGAGGACGATCCAGCGGCATCTGAGACAGGGTCGGCTTCCCAATGATGCCGTTGGGACTCATCTTTTGGGCAGGATGGAGCGAGTGCCACAATCCCCCCTCCTCTGGATCTGACTGAGTGAAGTTTTGGAATGTGTCGCTAGGTTGGTCAGGGGTCATGTCTCCAGCGGTTTGGTGTATTCATGTAATGTGTTGTTTATCGCAACTAACTACTAACTATACAAGACATATATTGATAGTTTAGACCCCGGCAAAGAGCCTCAAGGGAGACAGTGACACACCTGGCCTTAATCAATCAACTGGCAGTGGACTTCTCACTCCAAATGCGCAGTTTCCAGAGTGCCAAAAGGATCGATGACATAGGCTTACAGGCTATAAGGCTATAACTCTAGTTACTTACAGGAGTTTTGATACTTGTTTGGGCCACAAACACCAAAATCCCACCAGATCTGGAGGCCAAGTGGCACACATTCAGGGCAAGCAACGTACTCACGACAGGCAACGGACTCACGACAGGCAACGTACTCACGACATGCAACGTACTCACGACATGCAACGTACTCACGACAGGCAACGTACTCACGACAGGCAACGTACTCAGGACACACAACGTGTTTTCATGAAAAACTGAAAGAAATGCTACAGCTGAAAAACGAGAAAAGAATGGTCCATGGAAAAGAATGCGAAAGGTTGCAAGAGTAAAGCTACCACCTGAGACATTGTGTGTAAGTCGAACGATCTTTTCAAAGCGTTCTTTTTACAAATCTTAAAGCTCATGGTACCAGTCCCAGGCAACACCTTATTTGCCCTACCCAGATGCAAGCGCCGCTCACTGATAGACGTAAAACGATAGAGATCCTGCGTACATAGGTTGCCAACATTGCTCACGGCAGGTACCGTACTCACAGTAGGCAGCGGTCTCACGGCAGGCATCGTTCTCACAGCAGGCAGCGTTCTCACGGCAGGCATGCGACTGAGTG